GGATGTTCACATGTTCATTGTGAAAACATGCATGCCTTTGACAGGGAGAGCTCCCAGGCTGCAGAATTCCACAGTACACAGTCTCCACGCTGTCTTTCCTTTCTAAAATCTGAAAGGAAAAGAAAAAAAAAGCCCTCTAAATTCTGAAAAACATCCAATCCCAAAGGTTTTGTGGACCGGAATTGTCAGTCTGATGTGAGAATACAGAAGATTAAAACAGAAAATACGGCCTTGACCCAAAGCTGTCTGTAACCAACACCCAAAAGAGCCCGGCCCACTGACCACTAGGCCCAGACCCCAGTATTAATTCCATGAGGGGCCATAAATCCGAAGGAGGTATTCTTGTTTTCTTTTCTTTCTCTTGTTTTCCCCCCATAAGGACACCAAATACACTGATCTAAACTGAACCTGGACCTACGTATTTTCTTCAACTGAACTGGAACAGAATCAGAACATCAAAATACTCTCTGAATAAAATGTGAAAAGAATCAGTGTTTCATCTAGGCTGAGCCCCTCCTTGAAGAGATGCTTTTTCGAGAAGGTGAAATGATCTCATAGCTGGGAAAGGCTTAACCCACCCATCCACTTGCTAGAACTTTTCCTCAGGGAGAAAGAGAGGAAGTTTTTCAATTTTTTTTAAACAGCTCGAAAATAATGCCACGTGTTCATAGTAACCTGGCAGGACTCCAGACCCAGCTCTGCATTTTGTATACCTGCTTTTTCTCTTGATTCCCTAGCTAGTGTTTGCACATATGAGCTTAGAATCTGATGTTCCAGAAGGAAGTTCTGTTTCTCGGGTGAAGGTGAAGCCTGCAGGATGGCCCTGCACTGAACCACAGGACGTCTCTAACTGCTAACACTTCTGATTCTCTTAACTTGATTAAGGGGTGAGAAATGATACCTGGCTCATAGATGAGTTATTAACACATTTTCACTGAAATCTGAATGCTAAATGTTCCTCCTCCAAATTCCTGAGTTATTTTCATCATTTCATTTCTTCCTGTACCACAGCAATTGCTAATCTCTTTGTTCCCTGAAGAGTTTTAAAAGTAGTTTTGTTCACGTCATTTGTATCATGTGCTATTGATCAGAGTGACGTTTGTCATCCTCTTCAGAGCAACCATGCCACCGGTTTCTCATCAGGATCTGGTGCAAGCCCTGCTCCCCTGAAGGACACGGACGTCTTGGGCCCCTCCCGGCACACAAGGACCAACACCGGACTTGTTCAAAACTCCCAGACCCCGTGCTGGGACAGGGCCACCTCCGGAAGGAGGACCCTGGGGGGCACAGCACGCAGGGCCCTGCCGGAGGATCATGCTCCCGAGTCCTCACCAGGACCTAACAGCACTTTTACAATTTCTTGCTTGTTTCTCAAGAATGTGCTCCTTTTCTCGGGCAAATCACGAATATCCAAAGCAGACTGAAGTGTTTGGATTTCAGGGTTTTGCCTTTGTTTGTTTTTCCTCCACTTTCTCCTGCAGTCCAACTGAGTCATATTCATTTTTTAAACAATTTCAGATTCCATTTAATTTAAACAGTTTTATGTTGCTTGAGAAAGCCCAGTGACAGGTCCTACGAGCTCAACAAGAAGTCTGTCGGCTCCTCTTGTGCCTTTGGTAAACGGGTGCATCTGAAATGTTTTTCTCCGTCCTGCTTGCTGAAATGTGGTTCTCATTTACAAATCAGCATGGGACTGACTGATGGGCGGCCTACTTTCTGGGTACAAAGTACCAACATTGCCCGGATGTGTGTGAAGCGATACCTGCTCTCAAGGGGACTCTATTGTTTTCTCATCAGCCAGAAACATCCCCAAAGTCATGCTACAATATGAGAAGCACAGCAGTGAAATGTAGATGTCACCACCAGGCCCTCTGTGACTGCCCAGTGGTGGAGACCCTTCCCTGGGACACCCAAGTGGGCAGCTCACAGTGGTCAGGGCAATGACAAAACGGGCTGGGTCTGAGAGGTCACACAGTCTGGGCAGGTGGAGAGGAGGGTGGGAGGTGTTTCATGGAGGCAGAGGGTGCAAGGGAAATCTAGCAAGAAAACCAAAAGCACGTTAACGAGACAGCAGAAGATTTTGGATGGGAGAGCGCCTAGGCCTGGGTTTGGAGTTCCTGAAGCCTGCTTCATGTCCTTCTCCACCCAGCGACAAGAGGCCCAGATGCTTTCAAGCAAAGGAGATGCAGAAAGACAGCAGATCCGCTGAGGGAGGCGCATACGTGCCAGAATAAGAGGTCAGGGGCCAAGGAGCAGACACCAGTGGCAGCAGGGACAGAGGGGGCAATGAAGTGACAGAAGAGGGGGCAAATTGAGAACATTTTCAAAATAACTGATGACTAACACAAACCATTCAAAAATTCAATATTCAAGTTTTGCACATTCATTTTTAATTATCCCCTTATAGATCTACCAGATAGCCCTTCTCCCCCGTGCCCGATGCTCATCTCACCACCATCTAAACTATCATTCCTGAGTTATGGGCCTGTCACCTATTAGCCTTTCCTAAAATTAATCCAGAAACTGCCAGATACAAACTTCTATTAAATAAAATGAACATCTGTGATGACACACCAAGAACAAAATCTTAATTGTTCTAAACCTGGCACTTTGCTTTGACAACCAAGTACGAATTAAAAAAAAAAAACACTATTCCTTTAAAACACCTGCTTTCTTTACATATTGACTTCTGAGGGAAGAGACTAGTTTTTATGGGCAAGAACAGAAGTTACTCTCAAAAATAACACAGAAAAGCTCTGCTGTATAGAAGGGTTGCCTGCTCCATTAAATAACACACAAGAATATTAACCAAAAGCCACAGATCAAACTGAGGCCAATCCCACTTTCCCACATAAAAGCCGGCAGGGTGATAACCTCATTCCTTTGGAATTAGGCTGCTGGTGGAGGCCACAGTTCTCATTCTACCAGTGTGGCCGCACACCGTCGTCTTGGATGGCTGTATTTCCATTAGAATCGCTTTTTCCTCCACCCCCTTCCCCCAAGTCCAGTTATTCAGTGAGTTATAATTTGGCACCAAAATTCAATTAAGCTGAAACTTGGGTCATACGTGGTCTTTTTCTCATCAAACCATAATTTCCTTGACCGTAACATTTTGCCAGCGTTAGCCGATTGATTGTAAAGCAGACAGAGGGTAGAAGTTTCTTTAAATCGACTTCGCATCTCTAGAAACTGGCCGGAATGTTTTTTTTTTAATTCGAACACACAGTCAGGATGTGGTGTTACTGGGTGAAAGTGCTTGAAGTTTTCATAGCGTTTGTCAAACAGAGACCTCGGAACGCTCTGCAGACGTTAATTAATGTTCGCCCCGCCGGTAAGCCATTTCACCAATGGAAATTCCGATGAGAAAGAAAGGGGCGAGGGGTTCAAGGCCGCGCTGTTGTGAGTCCTGCGGAACTCGGACTGAAACCCCGCGGTTCCAATGAGCCAGGAAAGTCTGCCGAAGTACCGAGCACCCCTATTGAGGACTGTGGGAGTTTGGGCGGCTTAATGGGATTGTGTGCGGTGCTTCAGCTCTCCTTTAAAAGATTCCATGGCACCGACGAAGCTCCAATAAAAGGGCCTCTCTAATTGCTTTCTGACTTTCTATGAAACTTTCTAAGCTATACTGACATCCTCGAATACAACTATGGAATTAAATAGTGGAGAAAGCCGAGACAAAGTGGATGTGCAGAGAGAAAGCGGTTCTCAGCAAGGCGTCCGCGAGGTGGGGGGCAACCTGGGGGAGGGGACATGGGGCGGGTGTTAGGTCTCTGCCGGGGGTTGAAAAAAAATATGAGTGCTCTCTTTTGTGTGCGGACAAACAGCCGAGCGCGGGGAGGTCGGGGCCGGGGTCAGGCGCTCCGGGCTGCAGCTGCCGCCGTGGGGAGGGGGGCCCCGGGCGGCCCCCCGGAGTCGCGGCCACGGCGGCATCAGCCTTCCGGCGGCGCGGGCGGCCACTGTCCTCGCGCGACCCCGGCCTGTCGGGAGCGAGACCCGCTCCGCCCCTGGGGCGCCCAGCCCCGAGCAAGGTAAGCCCCGCGGGGGAGCTCGCGCGCCAGGGACCCCTCGGCCCTCGCCCGACAGGGCGCACGGGGGCCTCCGCGCCGGGCCGGCAGCCCCCGGAGGCCCGAGGCGCCCGAGCTCCCCGCGCGCCTGGGCCCGACGCCGGAGCCGGGACCCCGGGAGCCCCGCCGCGGCGCGCGCCTGCGCTGGGCCTGGCCTGGCCGGCGGGCCGCACCCCGGCCCGGGGAACAGAGCCCCACTCAGGGCCGCCTCGCCTCCCTCGGGAGCGAGCCCGGCAGGGCGCAGGTGACCTGCCCGGGCCGCCCGTGGCAGGGGTCATCCTCCCGCGAACCCCGCGGTGGGCAGCGGTCTTACCAGAGTGCGGGCCGGGCGCCCGGCGTCGCGCGGGGCGGGCAGCGCGTCCCGGCCTCATCGGCCCACCGCCCCCTCGAGCGCCCCGTGCGCAGGCGCAGACCCGCGGGCCCGGCGCGGCCAGGCCTAGCCCGGCGTGGGGACGCGGGCGCTGGCCGGGGTGCCCTCCCGGTCACCCGAGGGCGATGGCACAGTGGGGGGTGGAGGGGCAAAGGGATGGAGGCGTCGGCGAGGCCCAGGCGCCGACAATCAAAGGCTGGGGGTGGCGGCCCGCCGCGTTGCCCATGGCCAGGCCCAGGGCATGAAAGAATCTTTATCCTCGAGTGACACGGCCGGGCGGTTTCCTCCTGCCTCCCCCTCCAGCGGCCTTAATTGGGGCCGGCTGCTAATGTGATTAAAGGGTAGTTAAATGTTTCTCAGGGCAGACGGTGGGAAGAGGCCGAGACCCCTGCCCCCTCCCGGGGTCACGCCAGGCCCGTGGTCAGGGGGTCGGTAGTGGTGCCAGCCCCAGGACAGCCTGGCCAGGCGCCCGCGGATTGTTCACCCCGAGGCGGGGAGGCCGCGGGCGGGCGACAGGGCCCCTGAGGCTTTATGTAAGCCGGTGGGCTTCGGGCCCGACCGGATTTGGGGATTCTTTTCGCACAGTTTCCATTTTTCTGGCCTTTGGAACAGCGCCGCGGGCCCTCGGGGCCCTCCCCCTTCGTTGCCGGCGCCTGCGGGGCCCAGCCCTGCAGGCAGGCCTGGGGGTGCAGGGAGTTGGGGGTCTGGTGGGCTCAGAGCAAGTCGGCTTGGGGTCTGCCCACTGGGGAGAGTGACTCAGAATGCTGTTCGGGGATGGGGTGAGGTGGCCGTGCAGAGCCCCCGATCCACAGCGCCCCCGGGCCTCGGCGGCCGCCGGGTTCCCACGTCGGCGGCGGCGTGGGTGGTCTCGCCCTCCTCGGCGGGCTGGGCATCGCGGCCACCAGCGGCGCGGGGCCTGGGAGAGGGTGTTTGGGCTGCACTGCCCCCGCAATCGCCTCCGAAGTCGCCCTCGGGCTCATGCCCTGCGCCCAGAGGCCATGGGGACCCCTCCACAAGCCTGCCGGATCTGGTAGAGGCTGCGCGGCCCCGGACAGCTCCGCTGCGCCCCGCGCGGGAAAGGCCTTTCCAGCGCCGAGCCCGGCCCACCGCCCCGCTGCCTGCCCGGAGCCCTGTCTCCCGGCGGGCCCGGCCGTGCGCTCGCGGAGGGCATTGCTCTGGGGTCCGCGAGGGGCCAAGAGCGCGCGACCCAGCGGAGTCCCCGAGCCTTTGAAGTTGCAAATCTGGAAGCAGTTAGGACGGGGGAGGCAGATGAAAGCTAAAAGAAAGGCAGGCGGAGGAGTGAGTCCAGGACCTTCGGTCAGGTGGCCCTGGCTGTGCGCTCGGGCAGCAGCGGTTCCCGGGGCGCCCGGGGCCCCGCGGAGCAGGTGGGACACGCGCCGGGACCAGCGCCACAGGCCGCGCACCCTCCTCCGGCCCCCAATGGGGTCTGTCCGCGGCCTCTGTGCGCTGCAGAAAAGAATATGCAAGCAAACCGGAAGGCCGAGGCGAGAGCATTCAGGGCTGCGGCCGAGCCGTCCCCCAGAACCAGACGCCGTCCGGGCGGTAGCCTCCCCGGGCCCTGAGCGACGCTTGACATTCCAGCACGACACTGACTTAAACACCAGGGTTAACCTAGCAAGCGTTCTTCCGTGGAAATTTTACAGATCGGTTGTTTACTTTTTTTCAAAATGTTTTCTGGAATTGTCTGCAGAACTTTTTCACATCTAACAAACGTCAGACTGACAGATCGGAAGATATGAAATGAAAAGAATGACATTTTAATTTAAGTGGAGTGAAAGCAAACGGTATCTTCTAATATTATTGTCAAAATGTATTGTGGATCTAAAATATTGTCATGTTCAGCATCTATAATTTTTTGATATTTAAAATACACGTTTTGTACATTTTTCAACCAAAAAAAGTAAAAAAATTTAAAACGGCAAAAGCTGAAACCAAGAAGAGCCTGGAGAGAACATGAGGGTGAGGAACGAAAGCCTTCCCTTCCCCCGCGGTTTTTTTTCTCTTCCCACCGAGTAACCCAAAGGAAAATACAATGAAAATAAAATAATTTCATATTAAACTAACATATAGTTGTAATGAATTCCTTTCCAGACGGATCTAAGGGACCTGGCTGTTTCAGTGTGCTCAGAAAATGCTCGATTCAAGGTGATTTTCTTTTCCTTCAGCTGCTCGGAGAATTGTAGGGAAACATAAACAGTTCCAGCCTGAAGATTCTTTTTTAATCTGTTTATTGAACACAGATAAAATTAGAATCGTCTTCCACTTGAGATACAAGTTGCCCAGGAAAAGTCACCAGTTTTTTTTTTAGCCAAGGAATATCTGGTTTTGTTTTGTGTAAAACACTAACATTTAACTAATATGTAACAAACTGAGTGACCTTGGATTGGTTTAAACTACAACTGCTCTAATGTCAGTAACCCCCAATGGTTGTAAAAAGAAAAATAATAAATCCATGTTTGAACTAATCTTCCATTTGTTCTGAGATGACTTTTCCAGTGATCTTGAGTCAATAAGTGAGTAGTATAAAATAAAACAAATCATTGTGTGTTCCTGGTAAATAATTTTCTCAGGCTCAAAAAAATCAAAATTACATTCATTGACTGTTGCTTTTTAGGAATAACCTTTAAACTGGCAGGGAAAGGGGAAAATATGCCTTGGTTGACACTTGGAAACCCGAAGGGAAAGTTGAGTGAGGTGCTGTTAGTTTCACTATATTAGGGGAAGTGCTGCCCCACCAGAGTGTTCACTGGGATGCCAGGCTCCAGATGTTTGTTTATATCTGTGAGGCCACAGCACCAGACCCCTTACGTTTATGGCATGTGTGATGGTGTAAGGAAAGCAAGCTAGATGGTGTGGTGTACAGTGGGAGGCAGGGGTACCCTGGGCATGCAAGCCCGACCCACACCCAGCCTGGCAGCCTGGGCAGCTCCCAGCCTGCTACCCCCATGGCCATGTTTTGGTCCCATCTGGAGGACCTTCCTCCACTTTATGATGTTTTCTCTCCTTTAAAAAACTCCCCAGTGGCCCACTCAGTAGTATTGTTGGGGCCTATCTGTCATTCTCACACACATACCAAAAAAAGTATGGACCAAAATTTGTCATCCAAAGAGCCCCTGGGCTCCCTTGTCATAAGAGTCTTCAGCCGAAGGAGCCAGTCAACCATGGGGCATCTTTGTTTTTTGTTTTTGTTTTGTTTTGTGTTTCTGGGAAAACAAAGGCCCTTTCGCAGCACCTGGGCCAGCCAGTACTGTGGAGGAGGATGTGGCCTCCTGTTGGAATGCCGCTCTGCTTTGCGCTTGTTTATTACAACTAAGGGTTTCAGAGTACTTAGAATTTCCCAAGCAGGAGGCCCATTCCCAGGCCAGGGACGAGCATTCCGCGGCAAAGATGCGGCCTATGCAGAGCTCGCGACGGAGATTCTTCCCAGCCTTCCTCACCAAGACGGGCCCCCAGGACCCTCCAAGGAACAAAACAGCCTGCTCACATGTTCTGGACTCCAGAATATTCAATGACATTTGGAAAACAAGAAGCTGGCCTTCAGTCTTGGTGACCTTAAAACTAGGTGGCAATCATGAACAAAAGAAGTGTCACTGTTTGAATGCCCAAAGGAGGGCGGGGGAAGCAGAAAGCCCAGCGAAGGTAAGAAAGTGACACCTGACAATACGTGCGCCAGGGTTTGTGCCCCACAGCCAGGCCTCCCAGCACGAGTCCAAGGTTTCTGTAGCTGCAGCAGGACCACTGGGAGGAAGCCAGACAGGCATGTGGGGCCAGCCCCAGACTCTGGCCAATTGGCCACCTGACTGAGAAACAAACCTCATCACCCAAAAGCCTTCCAGGTACCCACTGCTGGCAGAAGGGAGTTCACACTCCTTCCCCAGCAGGCACCCAGCCCTGGCATTCTTGGGCCAGCCCTCTCATTGCCCCAACATCCTTCTGATCCCCAAGACACTCTCCTCTGTCACCAGCACTTGCCCAGCAGGAGAAGAGGCTCTCACTTCCCCGTTCCCTGTAGGTGGCCAAATGGGGTTCCGTGAATGTGAGAGCTGCCCAGCCTGGTGGAGCAGCACCAGGGCCTTGCTTTGGGGACCTGGGGAGCACCCTGGCCCCAGGTGAGGAACCCTAAAGGACTGCACCACACGTCGACACCCCAGGTTCTCAGACCCCACACCCAGTGGTGCCACCACCTTACCAAGCCAGCCGCATTGGCATGTGGGTAGAGGCACATCGTGGAAATCCTCCAGCACATCCTGGCTCCTGTCCTGCGCCCAGCACTGGTGTTCTTGTTCAGAGAACAAAGCCCCGGAGGCCCCTGCAGAACAGAGAAAGTCTGAAAGCAGTGGCTTTCAAAGCTTGCTGACTGTGGCCAGGAGAAGAAATACATTGTCCATCTGAGCCCAGTGACTGCCTAATGGCTACATGTAAAATAAGTAAGGGACTATTTATACATGTATAACTGAAACAATGTTTTCACAAAAGAATACTTATCTTTCTGTGCATCATCTGATGTTTTTTATCCTATTTATTTTCTTGCCACTGAAGGCTGCCTCATGCAAAAATGATTCCATGACCCTAG